TGTATGTGGAGACAGGCAGGGATAGGAAGTTCCAGCATATCCCTCCCTGCCTATCTATACTCACTGATCTGCAGGGGTGCAGCTACAGAGAGTCCAGACAGCAATTCCCACCCTGCAGAGGCAGCCTACAGCTCAGGGAAGTAAGGGATGGGGGGAAAGGCTGCAAGGAGACATGGGGACACTGAGACACTAAGGGACACTGAGAGACATTATGGCAGATACTGAGACACTAAGGGACATTGGGAGACATTATGGCAGATACTGAGACACTAAGGGACCCTGGGAGACATTATGGCAGACACTGAGACACTAAGGGACATTGGGAGACATTATGGCAGACACTAAGGGACACTGGGAGACATTATGGCAGACACATGGGGACACAGTGTCCCCATGTCTCCCAGCCGGTGTCTCAGTGCCCCCTAGTCTCCCAGTCTCTCACTGTCCCCATGTCTCTCATTGCCTCAAGTGTCACAATGTCCCCATGTCTCCAAGCAAGTGTCCCTGGTGTCTGTGGCCCAGGTGTCTCAGTGTCCCCATGTCTCCCAGTGCCCCCATGTCTCAATGTCCCCATGTCCCCCAGCCAGTGTCTCTAGTGTCTGTGTCCCTGGTGTCTGTGTCCCCATGTCTTCAAGTGTCCCCTATTTTCCCTTTGTCCCCATGTGTCCCAGCCAGAGTCCCCTAGTCTCCCAGTGTCACTTGTGTCTCTGTGTCCCTAGGTCTCCCCGTGTCCCGAGGTCTCCCCGTCTTCCTAGTGTCCTAGTGACATGGGGACCCTGGGATACATGGGGACACAGGGAGACATGGGGCTTTGAGACACTGTGATACATAGGATCACTGGGAGACCTGGGGCACTGAGACACTGATACATATGAACACTGAGACCTATAGTAATCGACACATGTGGGCACTGAGTCATGAGGACACTGGGAGACATGGGAGCACTGGGAGGAATCCATCTATACAGCAGAATCAAACTAAGTAGTTCTTTGGTGATTTTACAGCATTTTCTCTTATGTCACTCCTTTTTTTCCAAGAAAGGTGGCAAACCTAACTACTGTTCACATACTCTTACTTAAGTATGGAAACTTAGGTGGGATGTATGGGAGCAAAACTTGTGTGGACTGGCTGACAATGGATATAGTTAAAGGGACACTATAGTCACCAGAACAACTACAGCTTATTGAATTTGTTCTGGTGAGTAGAATCATTACCGTCAGGCTTTTTGCTGTAAACACAGAGAAAATGCAGTCTTTACATTACATCCTAGTGATAACTTCACTGGCCACTCCTTAGATGACTGTTAGAGATCCTTCCTGGATCATGGCTGCCTAAAATGCATCCAAACATTCAGTGTCTCCTCCCTCTGCATGCAGACACTGAACTTTCCTCATAGAGATTCATTAATTAAATTCATCGCTATAAGGAGATGCTGATTGGCCAGGGCTGCGTTTGAATCATGCTGGCTCTGACGCTGATCTGCCTCTTTGTTAGTCTTAGCCAATCCTATGGGTAAGCACTGTGATTCGATCAGGCCACCACGTCTAATGATGTCAGCAGACTGCTTGTTTTTATGAGTCTAACAGCACGCAAAGTTACAGCTTCGGGCTTGAATATAGTAAGATTTTGCTATATTTATGGAGGCATGAGGGTCCCAGGGGGCTAGATGGTGGTGTTAACACTATAGGGTCATGAATTCATGTTTGTGTTCCTGACCCTATAGTGATCCTATATGGTCAGGACTTTGGTCTCTCTAACACTGTGACATGTTCCCTTTCTTCTACACTCACTACATACAGCTTTTCTCTGCCCCAGACCATATACCAGGAGCTTCAGCCTGCTAGTAAGACGGTAAGTGGACCAGCGAGTGCTAGGGGACAGTCCTTAGAAAGCGTTGAGTGAGCGCATCATTAGATGCATTTATGCCAAGCTCAGGGTGCTGTCTGCATAGTATGCAGCTGCATGATTGGCAGGCAGACTGACATGCATTCATGCCAGGCTGGCCTTCTAATTCTTTGAGCAGACATGTCCTCTTTTTGGGCATGTTCGCCCCTTTTGGCAGGTTACGTGATTTGTGGCACACCCTTTTACCATGCCCATTGACTTCCTGCCTGACTGGACACTGCTGTTAGGGGTTATGGATTTACTTGAAAGATGAAAACATAAATTAGAGAGAGATTAGCCTTTTCTTATAGCTGCTGTTTTCTTTCTCTCCAGCACCATCTCCATCAGATACATGATGCTTGGGAGTGTTTTACTGTTTTTGGTCGATATGATTCTGTAATTAGGCCCGTCATAATTGTCAGCACCAGGCCCACTGGGCTCTTAATCTGGCCCTGCAGGTAGGTCTAACAGTGAAGACTCTTACTAAGTGTGGTAAATTACCAAACTCTATACATTTTTATGTACGCATACACATATACACTATGGTCCGTCTACTTTAACCCCTAAGGACACAGCTTCAGAAGCATGTCTTACGCTTAATGACACAAGAAATTTTTGAATTTTCTTGCTTTATGCGTTCAACTGCAATTTGCATCTCTCTCGTTTATTGCACTGACACATATATACTGTTTTTTAAAGGACAGAAAGGGCTTTAATTTGATGTAACATATATATACATATATGCTTATTTATTAAAAAAATACAGAAAAAAAGCAAATAAAAAGAAAAAAATTGTGTTTTTTGTACAGTTTTTGCAATAATAATGTGTGCCTAATTAGTGCAGGTTAAAGAAAGTAATTAAAAATAAATTAATTTTGTTGTTCTGATTTACAGAATATATAATGTGTCTGGGATTTTAAGTTTTTTTTTGGTAGTTACAGGTCACAAAGCACAAGGAGTAAAATAAACTTTTAATGTGGAGCGATTGTAGAATTTGGTATGTTTGTCTTGTAAGCTTAATAGCCATAAAAGAAAACAAAATTGCCACACAAAAGTATATATTTATATAAAGTAGACATCATGGGGTATTGACACTTTCTACGTAGCCATTTCACCGCCAATCTCTGCTAAATATTGGAGTATAATTTAGTTTTTTGGAGTTTTTGGCACACAAAGTTATAACAAAGAACTTCTCATTTGTAAAGTTGGTGTGTGCTATTCCTGTACAAAGCACACACTAACTTTTGTGTTCAGTTACTTCTGCTGAGTACTACGATACCCCCATTGTATGTCTTTGGCACTATTTCATGAAGCTACAGTGCCATATAGGAGACCTGTCCGTTTCAACATTTACAGTAGAATTTTGAGAGGCGGACTTAATGGGCCTATGCTTCAATTTGGGGGTATTATAGCAGTTTGACTGTTCAAAAAAACCCCACAAAGGCCTACCATTTGTAAAAGTAGACATTCCAGGGTATGTCAAATGTTGCATATTGTGCCTTAACATTCCCCCATTTTTTTTACCAATATATGCCAAAGTATGTGGTAAAAAATAATTTTGGGCATTTTTTACATACAGATTACATTTTTGCTGGGCATTTTGTACATTTCATATGTGCCACTAAGTTCAAACCCCCCAAATTATGCTCAGCTAAGTCTTCTGAGTAAAACAATATGCCCAATGTATGACTGTGACGAAGTGCCCTTCGCCACTTGTGCCTGGAGAGGACTGCTTGCCCGCCTCTTGCCCTGTGACTGTGGCCCCTGGGATGTATTGCCCTTTAAAGACATGATTTGGGCATAATGGATTTGTGTTGTGCTGCTGCTGGCCCTTTAAGAACCATCTGGGGACATACTGTGGAGTTACTGGGTGGCCACCATTTCCTATATCAGAAGCACATGGTGAGAACAATGGATGGCGGCCATTTTAACTCACAGACACTGTTTGGACTTTTCAACACGGTGCCATCTTGCCAGTATTTGGTGCACAGAGACATTGTGCAGTGGTTTTGGACTATACAGCAAGGGACACATTATAAAGTGATTGTTTTTCATTTAGCCTGTATATGTTCTGCAGAATCTGCATTAAACTGTATTTTCCAAAGTACTGAACGGATCTGGGTGAATTTTGGATATGTGGTTCACCCAGATCCCCGGTTCCAAGGATATACTTTTTATGGGGTTATTGCATGTTTTGGGGTCCCTGTGTGTTTTATGAAACTGTATTATTTCTGGCCAGCAGATAATTGAGCTTTGTGTATTGTAGAAACTCAATTATCTAGCCTGGCCCAGAGGAGGAGTTTTGTGCTGCATAAATTGTGAGTTCTGTGTGCCAGTAAATCAGTCTTGTTCCAGCATTAAGCCTTGGCTCATGTTTGGGGGAAGGGATACCTACACTCTGGGGATTGCTATAATCACTTACTCCCCAGAGGAAGCTCTTGCAATAGCTTGATTTGTTCCTGTTCCTGCTCTCTGGGGAAAGAGAGGTTCACCCACTGGAAGCTGGGTCCTGGCCTTGGGTCCAGGGTGGGTGGAAACAGCAGAGACCCCGGCGCAGTTGCATCGCTGGAAGTGGGGTCTGCAGTGCTGATGGTGTCGGTTGGAGTGCTTGGAGTCCTCAGCGAGCACTAGGAGCATCGATTGGCGGAGGTACTCAGTCGGAGTGCCAGCGTTCCGTCACAATGACCTAGACACTATTTTGTGAAGTTACACTGCTGTAAAAGAGACATGACAAGTTCAGGTTTTTAAGTGTGAATTTTCATGGAGGGTTTAGATGCGTCCGTGTCGCACTTTGGAGCACTTGAGCAGGCTACATATTACAACTACACCGTAAAGGCATACCATTTCTTAAAGAACACATCCCAGGGTATTTCAAAAGGCATATTTTGAACCTTTGCGTGGGATAATTTTTCCGCTAGCTTGTACCAAGTGTAGTGGTAATAAGCGTTTTTTTTGCCTTTTTGACACACAAAGTGAGTTTGCACCAGGGCCGGCCTTAGGGGTGTGCGAGCTGTGCGGCCGCACAGGGCGCCATGGCAACAGGGGCGCCGGGCGGCCAGCACAGCTCGCACTCAGTCACTCACAGGCCGGCCCGAGTCATGTGCAGAGCAAGTCAAGTGCATTATGCTGCGCACTTGACTTGCAAATTATGAAGAGAGCAGCGGCTGGGAGAGAGAGGAGGTCAGGAGCACGGAGGAAGAGCATGCTCCGCCTCCACAGTCATCCGCGGAAGGATCCGCACAGTGAGTGTGAGGGAGGAGGTCAGTGCTGGTATCAAGGTCGGCAGACTGGGACACTGTCAGGAGGTTCCAGGGAGCAGCAAGCTTTAATGTGAGTCTGTTTATTCTTGTTGTAACTATTGCTTTTTTTTTTTTTTTTATTAAATAGATTGTTGTTTTTGTGTGTGTGTGTGTGGGGGTTTGCAGAAGGGGGAGCAGAGGTTTTCTCGCTGGGATTTTGGGGAAGGGGTTTTGTAGAAGGGGGTTGGTTTAGGGAGGAGCAGAGGTTTTATAGAAGGGGTTAGAGGTTTTGTAAAAAAGGGGGTAGGGGTTTTGGTGTAGAGGAGACGTTTTGTAGAAGAGGGGGCAGGCATTTCTGGTGAAGTGGCAGGGGAAAGGATTTTGTGGAGGGGGCATGGGTTTTGTTGAAGGGGGACCAGGGGGTTTGTAAAGGGGGCAGGAGTTTTGTATAAGGGGAGCGGTGGCTGTATAAGTGTATAGTTTAGCATAAGTAAGGGGGCAGGGTTTAGCAAGGGGCAGGCTAAGTAGAAGGGGAGCAGGGGTTTAGTAGCAAGGGGAGGCAGGACTTTAACATAAGGGGGCAGGGGTTTAGTATAACAGGGAGGACTTTAGTATATAAAGTAGGGGTTTAGTGCATAACGGGCAGGAGTTTAGTATAAGGGGAGCAGGGGCTTAGTATAAGGGGGGCAGGAGTTTAGTATAAGGGGGCAGGGGTTTAGTATAAGGGGAGCAGGGGTTTAGTATAAGGGGGGCAGGGGTTTAGTATAAGGGAGCAGGGGGTTAGTTGAAGGGGAGCAGGGGCTTAGTATGTATGGGGCAGGGGTTAAGCAGAAGGGAGCAGGGGGTTTAGGCAAGGCGGGAGGCAGGACTTTAATATAAGGGGGGCAGGGGTTTAGTATAACAGGGCAGGACTTTAGTATAAGGGGGGCAGGAGTTTAGTATAAGGGGAGCAGGGGCTTAGTATAAGGGGGCAGGGGTTTAGTATAAGGGGAGCAGGGGTTTAGTATAAGGGGGGCAGGGGTTTAGTATAAGGGAGCAGGGGTTTAGTTGAAGGGGAGCAGGGGCTTAGTATAAGGGGAGGCAGGACTTTAGTATAAGGGGGGCAGGGGTTTAGTATAAGGGGGGCAGGGGTTTAGTATAAGGGAGCAGGGGTTTAGTTGAAGGGGAGCAGGGGCTTAGTATAAGGGGAGCATGGGTTTTGTAGAAGGGGAGCAGAGGTTTATGTAGAATGAGTGCAGGACTTTTGTAGAGGGTGGCAGTGGTTTTGGTGGGGGGGGAAGGTTTTTAGTGATATTATGTGAACATTGCTGTATAGTTGATATATATAATGATAGCATGTGTTTTGTTAAAGGGGGAGAAAAAAAATTATAGAAGGGTGGGCAGGGGTTTTATTAAAGGGGGAGCAGGGGTTTTGTAGAGGGGGCAGGGTTTTGTAAAAAGGGGGGCAGGGTTTTTGTAGAAAGGGGGGCTGGGGTTTGTGGAAGGGTTTTGTAGAAGGCGGAACAGGGCTATTGTAGAAGGGGCAGAGGTTTTGCTGAAGGGGGGGGGGGCGCCATATGTTGGGCTCGCACAGGGCGTCTGATCACCTAAGGCCGGCACTGGTTTGCACAGTATATTTTGCAAATCGTATGTGTGCTACGACTGTATATTACTTCATATGTTGCTCAGCTATGTCGGCTGAGTACAGCAATACCCCCGTATGTACCTTTGCCAGGTATATGTTGACATTGAAGGGGCACATTTGAGACACAGCCATTCCAGTTCTTCTCAAATTTTGAATTTTTACGCTGTGTCCATTTCCCATTTTAAAGTATTTTACAAGGTTATATAATCCAATTACCCCTTAAAGGTATACCATTTCTTAAAGAAGACATCCCAGGGCAATTCAAAAGGCCTATTTTGATTTTTCCGCTAGCTTGTACCAAATGTAGTGGTAATAAGCATTTTTTCTGCCTTCTTGACACACAAAGTGAGTTTGCGCAGTATATTTTGCAATTACACCATAAAGGCATACCATTTCTTAAAGAAGACATCCCAGGGTAATTCAAAAGGCATATTTTGAAACTTAGCGTGGGATCATTTTTCCGCTAGCTTGTACCAAGTGTAGTTGTAATGAGCATTTTTTAATGTATTTTTTTACTTTGTAAATCTTTTTTTACTTTGTAAAACCTGTTTTTAAACTTTTTTTAACTTATTTAATGTTTTACACTTTCTGAACTTTTTTTACACTTTTAATTTTTTTCTAAACTTTTCTTTTACCGTTAACCCCTAACTAGCAGTAAGCAGCACTGACCGTAAATTCCCCCCTTTCCCATAACTCCCACCCACTCCAGCTAGCAAAATATATATAATTATAAAATATTTAAATTAATTAAATAAATTGAACCCCTAAGGGTTAAAAAATAAATAAAAGTTAATCCTCAGGTTAAAAGAAATTAGATTACAGTATAATACTGTGATCTGTATTTTGATCACTGTAGGCAGTGATAAGCTGGCAGGGAAGGGGTTAATTTTTATTTAGACTGGGTAAAGGGGGGTGGTATTTTTTTTTTTTTTACTTAAACGTTACTAAAACCTTTTTTTACCTTTTTAAAGCTTATTTTAAAACTTTTTTAACGTTAACCCCTAGTTAGCCTAACACCAAATTCCCAAATTCCCCACTAACATCCACCCATCCCAGTTAGCTAAATATATAATTTTTCAATATTTAAATTAATAAAATAAATTTATCCCCTGAGGGTTAAAAAAAAAAATTAACCCTCAGGGGTTAAAAAAAAAATCAGATGACATTAAAATGTATACCCTGCCAATTGATCACTGTAGTCAGTGATCAATTGGCAGGGAAGGGGTTAATTTTATTAAAGCAGGGGAAAGGGGGGTGGGATTTAACTTTATTTTATTTTTTTTACACAGGGAGAAGAGGATCAGCTCTGATCCGTCTCCCTGCACTTCACACAGAACCCGGAAGTGCAGGGAGGCGGAAGGTAAGTATACTGAGCACATGTGCTCGCTCTGACAGCTTGTCAGAGCGAGCACCGGTGCTGGGGCAGCCCGATCAGGTGCTCCCGGTCTGCCTTTAATACAGAGGCAGACCGGAGCACCGTTAACCCCGCGATCGCGGCGATCTGGGGTTAACTTTAGTAAACGACGGAAATTTTCCATCAACGGTCCTTAACTGAAGGACAAGGTTGACAGAAAATTTCCGTCTGCGGTCGGGAAGGGGTTAACCAATATTTATTCAGAGACAAAACAACAACAGCATACAAATAATAACACACAATCTAACTAACAATAACAACTAAACAGTGCTTATATATGGAGAGAAACATCCTGTAATAGCCAAAAGCAGAATACAAAATTTCCAATAGCAGGCAAAAACTTTGTCTATTTATCCTGATCTGATAAGTTGGAAAACATGGGCTATTTTATGCGATGGTCTCACATCTGTTTCTGCTGTTGATCCAAAAGAACACAAAATACACAAATTGAAGCTGTTTTCCAATTTTGCAAAAAAATTTTTTTTTAAAAGTCGTTCTTGACACCAGAATGGCAGTCATATATTTCTTGCATCAAGAAGCTGTTAATCTACATATTAAATATTATTATATCCCTGAATATTATAGTTTTCAAGATTTCATCCAGTTGTTGTTTAAAAATCTGTCTGATAAAACCACCTCTTCAGGCAGATAATTCCACATCTTTACTGTTCTAACTGTAAAAAAACATATCCTTTGCCTTAAACTAAATCTCCTTTCTTCCAGTCTAAATTGGTTGATCATGTGTCCCGTGCACAGTCCTAATTATGAATAGATTTTCAGACAATGATTGGTATTTGCTTTGAATATATTTGTGTAATGGTATCATAACCCCAATCAGAGCACTGTTTTTCTAAATTAGCTAGATGTTCTTCATAACTAAAATCTTCTATTCCCCTTATTCATTTTGTAGCTTGCCTCTGTACTATTTCAAATGCCATAATACTGTTCTTTAGAACGGGTGCCCAAAATTGTATGGCATAATCTAAGGAAGATTCCTGGGGGATTTTCAGAAAATTCATGAACAACAAAAGTATGTCTCTCTCTCTCTCTCTCTCTCTCTCTTTTTTTTCTTATTCATTTTTGTAAATGTTACAGCATTTTTACTGCATTCAGTATATGTGTTCACTAAATTTGTGCATTACTTTTCAGCAGAATTGCAATTGTAACTCCAAAATGCCATATGACTGAATCATAAGTAACTGAAATGGACAATATATGACCAAGTTTTGTTGTTTGTGAATTTGGTGTGCTGCCCATGGCACACAAAAAACATGATTGATGGTTAGGTGACAGCCTTTGAATCCAATAAATACATAAATAGAAATGACTGAATGAATAATAAGTAAGTAAACTAGGGATCAGCCAGACTGAACACTTAACTTATTTTTGAGCATTCAGTTGTACATTTTAACACTCCAAAAAACAGAATATTGAATGAATGTGAACCGAACAAGAATGATAAAATTCCATTCTATTTAGCTGGAATCCAGTCGGAATTTGGTAGAACGAATTTTGACCAGAATTAGCTTCAGTAAATATAAATGCATATGTTCAGCAGTGCACATTTTCACATCTTTCCAATTTGTCCATACTTTTTTCCGAAATAGTTTGCACGAACAATATTCAGTCTGAGGTTAACCATCGCATTGACATATTTCGGTCAGACCATGCACACATTTTTCTTTGAAAAAAATAATTCAGCGAAACCAAACTTTTGAACCGTGCACAAGTCTAGTGTTACCCTTGAAATGTGCTTTTAATGGGAAGTCCCCTCTATCTGTAGGCACAAAATACACTTACCTTTTAAATAAAAATATTTATTACCATTTTTGAAACATTTTATATTTTGTTAAATATTAAGTAAGCTATACACGTTAGAGAAAATTAAATTGAATCATTTGCTTTGTAAACTGAACACTGGAACTGTTTATATTTGTTGGTTTAATTTACAATATCAGTAGAGAAACATGAAATTAACGACAGAGACCAAAGAGACTTTAAAGACTATTTCATTATAAATAGATCTTATTCACTTTGTAGATTAGGTTAGTTTAGACA